CTCCTCCTCCTCCTCCACGTTACAATGCAAAAAATGCAATCCAGGCAGTCCTCGACTTACAGCAGTTCATTTCATGGCCATTCAAAGATTCAACAGCATGAAAAAAGTGATTTATGATCATTTTTCACACCGATGACCTTTGCAGCCCCAGGATCAGGTGATGGGAATCCGGATGCTTGGCCAGTGGTTCACGCTTACGGCCATTGCTCTTTCCCAAGGTCCCCTGATTCCCCCTTGGGCGGACTTCCGACAAGCAAAGTCAACGGGGAAATCCAGATGACTGAACAACGGTGTTACTAGCTTATCAGCTGCAGGGACTCACTTAACAGCGGTGGTAACAAAGGTCGTAAAATGGGGCAAAGCTCACTGAACAAATGTCTCGCTTAACAACGGAAATTTTGGGCTCTCAATGAAGGCTGTCAATTGAGGACAACCTGTACAACGTCAGAACTGGCACCCTGGGTTCTTCGGCCGAAAAGGAGAGGATTTCCTATACAGCAGGGGTGGGTGGGTGGGGGGTCTCCTGCTCAAGGCCCGGCGGCCGGCCCACAGGGTCAGTTGGCCCACAGCCCTTCCCAGCTGCCCCTTCCCTGGCGGGGGGTTGCAGGCGGCCATCGCAGCCGGAAATGGAGCTTGGGAGCCTGTTTAGTGACCTCGAGCTGGTCACGCCCCCCCCATCCCGCTGAGGTGAAACACAGCCTGGTGCGGCCCTCCATGGAATCAAGCCTGACGCCCCTGCTCCACAGGGGGGACCCCTGGAATCCAAGCCCCCCCCCCCCGCTCCCAAGCCCCCCGCTCCCTTCACCTTTCCCTTGAGGGTCTGCAGGGCGTCCAGATACGCAGCCAGCATGGGCAGGCTGAGGGTTTCTACGAGGGTGGAGTGGAGCCACTGGATCAGCTTGGCATCCCAACTGATGCTTGCCAAAGCCTGCCGGACACGCCGAGCACATTTGTCCACCGCTATTCTTCGGAGCACGGGCTCATTGCAGGCCTTGCGGAAAGCAACCGAGGAAGGAAGGAAGGAAGGGGAAAAAGAAAAAAGAGTCCTCACTAAGTTAACGGCATCGCAGCCCTTCTTTTCAAGCTTGCGGGGTGAACCAGGAGCACCCAGATCCAACTGGATGAAAGGCAGGGATGAGGAGAAAATAGGGAGGATAATAACCCGTCAGATTCTGGCCTGTTCCAGCACGTCGGAGCAGCCGCAAGCCCCGGAGGCAGGCGGGTGGGGAAGGAGCAACAGCCAGGAGATCCTTACCCCTTCGTTAGCTAATCGGGCCAGTCGGTCAGACTGCAAGGCTTTGAGGATCTTGTTGAACAGCTTGTTTTGGGCCACTGTCCAGCCCGATCTGCAAAGGAAAGACTCCCTTGTAAAGTCCAGCTGCTGACGAAATCAGGAGCGCGTGAGACCTTTCCAGCTCACGCTTGTGTCAGACTAACAGAAAATCTACTTCGGTCCTCGTTTTTGCAGGCAAAGACAAGGAAGGGAACAGGGAGCTTACCCCCTCAAATCGCCCATGTTTGCTGTGCCTCTGAACACGGAGAATTAGGATTCATTGAAACCTGGAGTGAGCTCCCCTGCCTCGAGGCAATTGTTGGCACCTTGAGAAAGTGACCGCCATGCTCCCATGGCCCTTTCCCAACTGGAAGACAGGCCTGGGCCTACCAAGTGGAAGGGGAGCTCAAAGTGTTCGTTCCTAAAGCCGCAGCGTCCTCTTCGCAGCACGTGCGGGTTTGTGCACGGATGCCTCCCACCCCGGAGGAAGCCCACAGCCGTGCCCGTGCTGTGGCAATGAAGAGTTTTCCATTTAAATACCAGAAGTAAACTGAAGAGTACTTTTCTCCAGAGTAGCACAGCTGCATTAAGTTGTACTGATCCATTTAGTACAACAATACCCCATATTTCTTCTTCCACGGAAGTAACTCTATAGACAGATTTAATCATAGTTTCCACCTAGACCAGTCCCAAAACACTGGGGAATTTCTAGAAGCCTGGCACTCTGACAAATCAGCCATCAATAACATTAAGAACATCCATAGGCCATTAGACTTTCTACTATTGACCTCACCCCTTTCCTAAGAGGTCTGTAGCGGGCGTGCATAAGCGCACCAACGTGCCCACCATCCCTGTCCTATTGTTTCTTTTATTTTTCTTACATGTATCCATGTATTCATAACTATGTTTTTACTTATACCTATTATCTTGTAAGCAACCGACAAACCAAATAAATAAATAAATAAATAAATAAAGTAAAATAAAATAAAACAAACTATGCAAAAGAGAAAATCAACCAGCCCAAAGGAGAACAAAGATTCCTCTCAACCAGTAATCAGCACCCAGATCAGTATAGATTAACTCCAAAGTCAACTTCAGACCAACGATCAAGTAAACGACACCCCAATCAAGAAACTGCCAGAGAGCCCTTAGTAAACAGCCAGAGAAAGAATCCCTAAGACCGTCCCCCCACCCACCACAGACAGGCAAAACACCAGAATATAAAAGGACAGCAAACGTCACTCCCTACTAGCATTGATCACCTAGCCTAGTTTGGGTTATAAAACAAGAAAAGTTTTATTTTGCAAGAAAACAAACAAGCTCAGAGAGCACCAAGGACCCCTCACTACACATTATCAGTATAGTGTGATTTAAATAATAAGCAAAGTTATATTTATCACAGTCATTATTATAATAAAACATGAATCATTAATTAACATGATTAGAACTATGCATCGTTCAGAGTATAATCTGAGATGACTAGAAGCATCTTTTGAAATTCAAAATAAATTAACACCTCTAATATTATATGTCCCCAAATTATACTCAGATCAGAAACACCATCATCAAGATAGAGGCCACACCAGCAGTTCTAAGGGCTTTCTTCCTGCCACTCATTTTTATACCTGTTCATATGTTCCTCCCAGTCCTCGGGTGGTGGAGGTGTATCCGTGTCTGTACGGGCAAAAATCACGTGGCGTTCACACTCATTCATCACAGTTCGGGCTTTCTGGTTGTCATAGAGGGGCACAGGTGTCGGTGTCACTGTTTCTACATCAATAGGAACATCGGCCTCCCTGGAAAGAGATACCGCGGTTTCAAGATAAGGAGAATTTTGTAACCCTCTGTTCCTCTTGAATGGCTTAGGAGCTGTATGAAAATCAGCACCCAGGCAGCACGTGCAGCACTCGAAATAACCTCGGCTCAGTACGTATGGCCTGGTCAAGTGTTGGTCCCATTAAACGTTCAGCTCAACCACACGGAAGGCAGAGAAAGAAAGAGAGAGAGAGAGAGAGAGAGAACTCACGCAGCGCTATTATCCTGATGTCGCTTGGGCGTGACAAACAGCAGGCGTGTGGGACGAGCATTACTGGCATCAGGGTGGGCACTCCAGGGCTTGGCATAGCTGTGGTCCAGGAAGACCAAGTCTAGTTCCCTCTCGTGGACTGAGAGCTGGAAAAGCAGAGAGGTCCCCATCCTCCGTGCCGAGGTTTGAAAATCACGCTCGTTCCCTCGATAAGACATGTTTCAGCCTTCTGTGTTCAGCTGCGGCACAACCTGCTGTCGAAGCTGCACATCCTTCTGTCTGGAAGGGAAGGAGAAGGGATGAGCAAACGGCACGGCATGAAAAAAAAACACCAGCTAGGGCTGTGTGCTCTGCAGCCCAGATTCATTTATTCATTAAATCACAGGCTGCTAGGATTCTGAAGCACTCTTCGCAATTTCAAGATAAAACGCACAATGAAATAGATTATAAAATACAGATTTTTTAAAAAATAGCATGCAATTAGCAACAGAGCCAAACTATCATCCAACCCGAGGGAATCGCAACCCAATCGGCCTTGCCAACAAGCAGCCTGGCCCTGCCTCTCCCAGGTAAACCAAACCGGTGGACCCATTCCAGTGGGAGAATCTGCTCCAACCGAGGGTCACGTGGTGCACCGGACACCAGCACTTTCTAAGTTGCACGGAGGAGCAACCGGGTACCCGGCGCAGAGTTGGCAGCCCTGGTACCAAAAGAGTTTCTGCGGGTGAATACTCCCTACTCTCAGTCAAGGGCAGCAGCCTTTGTGTGGTCTTCAGAGGCACCTCCTGGGGCAGCCCCTCTGCAGGGGACGGCCAGATCCTCCTCCTCCTCCTCCTCCTCCTCCTCCTGCCACCTTGGCCAACGCGGAGCAAAGCCTTTTGGGCCCCAGCCCCCACAGGGCCCGCCCTGCTTGCAGGAGCTGCTGGTCCAGAAGGACCCCCCGAAGTCAAAAGAGGGGCCGCCTCCAGCAGACCCACCTGTGATGGGCAGGCAGTAAGGATCCTGCCTGGCTGGGTTCTCTCGCAGCCCCCCCCCCCCCGGGCCCAGAGGGGCCCCCAGCCCGGCGATGGAAACCGGGGGGGGGGTCCCCAGTATCTCTACGGCAGCAACCCCCCCATTGTGGGGGAGGGGGTGTTATTGCTCTTCCCCGTTGAAGTTTGGCGTGAATGGTGCACGGGAGGAGGGGGGGGGCTGAGCCCTGCAGGGGTCAGCAAGGCCCCCCCCCCCCCCCCCCCGCTTGCCCCGCCGCAGCCGGGGAGGCGCCCGGGAAAGCGAAGGGCCGGAGGCGGCCGCCCCGAGAGCTCCTTCCACGGCGGGGATGCCCAGCCCCGCGGGAACGGCCCGCCGGGGAGGCAGCTCCATCTGCGAGGCGGGAAGGTCGGAGGCGCCGCCCGAAGGCCCCGCGCGGCCACCCGAAGGGAGCCTCCTCGGCCCAGGCGGGGCGCCTCCCCGGCGCGGCCCACCCGACGTGAGCGGGGGGGGGGCGGGGGACGTCGGCGCTCCTGAGCATGTGCAGACCGCAGGCCCCTCCCGGACTACAGCTCCCGTCGAGGACTACGCCGCCCCCTCCCCGGCGGAAGCGCCGCTCACCTGCTTCCCCGGCCGAGCAGCAGGGCGGCGACGCCACCGCGGCGTGATTGACCCGGCCAGGCCTCGCGCTTCTGCGCACGCGCGAGGAGGTGCGGGGAGGCGGAAGCGGCGGAAGCGGCGGCGATGGCCTTCAGGTCCGGAGGCAGGTTGGGCGCGCGGGCCGTCAGGCTGGGCCTCCCCTTTCGGGGCCCGGAGCAGCTTTGCAGGCCGGAGGAGCAGGCCGAGGGCGGTTGGGCGCATGCGCGATACCCCGGCCCGCCTGCAGGTGGCGCTGCGCAGGGCGGGAGCGGCGGCGGCGGCGGCGTGGGGGTCCCTCGGGTGCTCCCCCTGCGGCCCGGCGGTTGGCAGGGCCCTACCGGAAGCTCTGGGTCCGCCCACGGCCGGAAGGCGGAAGCGGCGGAGGCCGGGTCTCCCGGGCAACAGCGTCAAGGCGGCGAGGGTGGCTCCGGCCCGAGGGGGCCCATGGGGAAGCGGAGGGGCGGCCTGCCGGACAGGTGAGCGGGGCGGCGGGTGTTGCGGGGGGCGGTCGGGGTTGAACAGGCGGGACAAGGGACGCTTCCCGGGGATAGGTTCTGCCAGCCCTGCCCCGCCGAGCCGAGCCCTAAAAGCCACCAAAGCGGTGCGTTTGCCGGCTTTCTAAGTGCCAGATGGGAGCTGATTCCACCACAAGGCTTCCGCTCTGGGTCGGGGGTCTCCAACCTGGGCCCCTTTAAGCCTGGAGCACAGCTGCCTGGGGAATTCTAGGAGTTGAAGTCCACACGGCTTAAAGGGGCCAAGTTTGGGAGCCCCGGTTCTGCATTATCCTTCCTCACTGAAACTCTGTCCTAACCCCATCGAAGCAAAAGCAATACGTTGTGACGTTTCCTTCCTAGGTGGACTGATTACCTGCCTCTTGGAAAAAGAATGTCCGGGACCCGCTTTATTGCCTTTAAAGTTCCCCTGAAGGAGGTAAGTCAGGTGAAGAACGTAGCCACTCCATTGCTTTGATTTTTTTCAGCGCCTTTGAAAGATGAAAACGTCTCTTGGGGACGGGTGATTTGCTGGCAGTATATCAGCAATTTGTAGATTTCGTGTAGCTTTAACAAAAGATTCCTCTACACCCCCCCACCCCAAAGGAAAGATTTTGAAAGCAAATTTAGATCAGTGAACTTGTTAGCTACGGAGTCAAGTAAAGTGTCATAAATTAAAATAAATTAGTGAAGTTTTCAGCTACAGCATCAAGTAAAGTGTCATAAAAGTAGCCTAAATAAATTTATCTGGACATTGATGGACACAACAGGCATTTTGGGTTCCACAGGGTAAATTTCAGCCTGAACATTGACAATATTAATTGGGGGAAGTTTTGGAGGGCAGTTTTTGTTCATATTTACTGGCTCTCCGAACGTGATTGCTGTTGAGGGCCTCCGTTTCTTGCTTCTAGGTCTGACCTGTATGTTTGACATTCTGGCAGACCTCCCAGGAAACAGGATCTGATCAACTAATTTCACATTATTGTGAGGCTACATTAACAGAGTCTTGAACTAGATTTCATTGCTTTGGTGAAATTGGACATTTAGAGAAGTTGAATTTGCTTTACAACAATTATTACTTACTGATGGAGTTCCCTTCCAAATTATTAACTGAGGACTGTTTTGTACTCAAGTTATACAAGGTTGTGCAAATAGAGCTGTGCTAGGCTCCCGGTATGTATCAGAGTGTTTTGGCAATTTAGCAGCAACGTTTAATATTTTTTTCCAGAGTTTTGAATGGAGGCTTACCCCAGATGAGCGTTTTTCTCCCTTAGACCTCATCACTCAAATCAAAGAGCAAAAAGAAGAGCTTGGTTTGATCATTGATTTAACATATACAACACGCTATTATGAGCCAATGGTAAGTTTCCCTTAACAGGGATTAGTTATATAACCTTAATTCTTAATACAGTCATTGCTTTGGGATTACAGAGGCAATTTTGAGAAAAGGGGTTTTTAAGTTGGTTTCCTGAATATAACAATTATAACACATTGTCATTTTTTGCCTGCTTTATTGAGCTGATTTATTTTTTTCTTAAATGGCTGTTTGGATATTCATTTCAATTATTTCAAATGCTTTGCATTTTCTTTTAGGAGCTACCAGATACACTGCAATATTGTAAGATTTTAACAATTGGACATGAAGTACCTAATCACGCTATAGTTTCTAAATTCAACAGTGCTGTGAAAAAATTCCTCAAAGAGAACCAGCATAATGGTGAGTCTGATTGGATGTGCAAACACTTTGATTTAGTAACAGAATTTTACATTAAACCCCCAAAATTCTATTCCTAAACCTGTTTGTAGACCATCTCAAGGCAATCTGCCCATCAATACTACTGCCTCTTGCAGTACATGGAAAAAAACAGATATATATTTGTTCATGTATAAAAGCAACTAAAATTAAAATTATCTCTGTGATGGGGCTTTTATAAAGACACCATTTGTATTTCCTATCTCCCCAGACAAACTTATAGGAGTCCACTGCACACATGGTTTGAATCGAACAGGTTACCTTGTTTGCAGGTAAATTTTTCTAAGCAACAAAGTGATTCCACTGGTCTGATTTGGAAATTTGTATCTGCTGCAGCAATGTCAGTTTATGTCTATCTTCAGTTGATAGATTAGCTCAGTTAATTATAATTCCTCTAGAAATGTTAGTTTCTGTTAGTCTTAATACTATAGAAGGACAAAGAAAGGATGGGAGAAGACAAGTTTTTTTATTTAGAAAATTGATGTCTAATTCTTTTTCTGTAGGTTTTTAATGCACAGTAAATATTCAATTATTGTAATGCAATTAATGTATTTTGAAACAACCAATTTTTTTAAAAAGTTATGGGACCTCATTTCTATGGAGTTATGATGACGTACAAATAATGCCGTTTGTGCTCATTTATCTCATTTGTGTAATTATCATTGCACAGATATTATTGCATAAACTGCATAAAACTTCATTTTATTGGATCTTAGTAAACAGGCTGTTTTCAGCAGACTGAATTTCCCCTTAAATTTACATGGTGCAGACGATGTAAACCTGAGAGTGAATTTGTTCTGTTTATGGTCTGTTGCACTGAAGTCTCTTGAATGGGCTTCACTGTGTTGTAATTTTTTCTTATGTTAGTTTTCTTCTTGTGTATTGTTGTTAAGATACCTTATTGATGTTGAAGGAATGGATCCAAACAGGGCAATAGAATGTAAGTATTGTGCTCTCAATTGAGAGCACTCTGATTCAACTCTTCAATGCCTACACTAACCAGGATAGATAAAATAGCAGATAGCTAACAAATGTAACAGTTTGCACAGCCAAAAAAGAAAGACAAAAAGCATTAAACATTAACAAATGAGCACTGTGAATTAACCTAATATCTAATGTCCTGCTTATTGAAATAGTGGGATTATGGAATATGATAACCAAAAAATAGCTATCAATCGCAGGCATATTTTACAAGCTATCATGGGGAAAAAAGAAACATTTTAAAGTTCTGATTAGACAAAATATATATTGGCGGTATAATCCATCAGATGATCTAGAAAGTAAACTTCTCTGACTGTTCGGGTTAAACCTTTTTCATAACTTGTACAAAAACATGAAATTTGAATTGCACTGATAAAGAAAAGGGCCTGCAATGCTTTTTCTAAAGATTTATTTTTCCTGTTGCACAGTCTGCATTGCGTTGCTAATACTGGGTCGGCAGTAAACTCCAGTAGGGACTGCCATGGTGAAAGTGAAGCTTGGAATGTCCTGAATGTTCCACTGACAGAACGAGGCGTTTTGCATAAAATGGTTTTCTGATTGGCAGCGGTGATCGAGTTTCCATGGAAAACTATCTTGATCTCCCCATTGCAAATATAGGTGTTTCCTTGAGAAACTAGTGCCCGCCCTCTGGCCCCATGTCAGAAAATTGCCTGTGGGGATAGGATAGTTTATTTTGTAGACAATCTCCAAGATTCTCTGGAATTAAGCTCTGGAATTGAGCTTAAAAGTCAGATGAGCTTCTGCTTTGTGCTTTAATGAAAATAATATGTGTAGAAGTAACGTCTATATAGTGGGGCACACAGAACATCAGAGCGATTTTTCCCTTTCACAGTATTCAACAGATGTAGGGGACATCCTATAGAGAGGAAGAACTATATTTCTGCTCTCCGGAAAACGTCTGGAACAAGGTAATTCTCTTTTCCAGGGTCACTTGCTGAAATGGAGCACTCCAGCCTTTTTTTGCATTTTGTACTATTGAATTCCTGCCTGCGAAATGGCGTTCTGTTTGTTGCCGGTTCTTGCATATAATCCTATAAGCAACATATGAACGTATCCTTCACACACTGCAAATTACTTGGCCAACCACACACCGTTGTATACATACAAAGTACATGTATGTTGACATCCCAATCGCCATGCTATAATTACATTTCCTGCATATTTATCCATGAGTACATTAAACCAGGGGAACGTGACTTTCCTGCACATTTTCTCCAAATTGATTAGGCCACTTTTATTTAGTTTTTACATCGTTCCTGTTTCTTTTAGTTTCCCAGACACACAACGCATGTTATTTTTCCCCCTCCATTTATTTCATTCCTTAATTCATGCCCTTTACCACTGTCAGCTATTCCAGGTAAACCAGACAGGATTTAGGTGAACGAATTCTGCCTTATTGTAAAGCTACATCAGGGCTCTCCAATCTTATAAACTTTAAGCCTGGCAGAATTGAAGTCTGCCAGGCTTAAAGTTGCTAAGATTGGAGACCCCCTGGGCTACATGAACAGAGCCTTGCAAATAAGATTCACACCGTCCCTTTTAATCCCCTGAACCACCAGGGTGGGGGTCCTTCCTAAGTTTCTTTCTCCACCATTAAGCCACGGGGGCTCCTGCTTCTCTTGTCCAGCTGTTCCCCAGGCAGTGTCTTTCCTTCCTCCCCCAAGGTTGTCATCCGCACATTCCATTACAACCAGTGACGACTCTTACGTTCAGAGTCCCATTTTCATCATGACTTTCCTCAACCAAGGTTTTCACATCATGCTTGTCATAAGAAGAAGGCATGGACTAATTCCTGGTTAGAGGTAAACTCATCTCAACGCAGTGCTTCCTGCTGCTAAGTTGGTCAGCTTGAGCACCACTTGCATAACTTCTGCAATGCAACCAAAGTCCAGTTTTACACCATGTTTGTTTTTTTCCCCCCTGTTCTGGGCAAACTGGAACCTGCTGTAGCAGAGACTCTCTGCAAGCCAAAAGACTCCGTCTAGCATCCCACCATCTAGAAGTTAATTGGCAGATATTCTGGACCCCTGAAAGCAGCATTTTAAATAACCGATTTCCTTATCTTTTTTCTAAAGGAACCATCATCATATGGATGGTTCACAACGGGACTGGATGAAAGGGCCGGTGAGTTATGCCCAAAGTCCTGATTATGAAGATGCGGACTATGGACCACAGAACTGGAAACACGCACCAAGGTTTTTCTTCTTTTCTTCCCATGGATTCAGTATCATTAAGTGAACGTAGAACCTTCTGTGGTTCTGTATATAAAAATAGAAAAGATTAGGGTAAAGTTAGATGTTGACATGTGCTCAAGTAACTCCCAGAAGCATCTCCTTCCCTCCCCGGTCCCCAGAAGAGCGTAGAGCCCTTCAAACTGTGTGTCTTCCTTAGGAAACCTTGGCTGGTTCTCCAGAGGGAAGGGGGAGAGTTGGTACTTCCTTGGTCCCCTGCCTGTTTTTCCTACTTATAGGACTTATTTTCCCTGGAAAACAATTGAATAGCAGAGAGGTCAGTCTGGTCCCATTTAAAGTTTTCTTCCCACAAGTTCCCCACCCTGATCACTTGGCCAACTGAGGAGGAGGAGGCAGCATAGTGGCTTGGTAGGTTGGTTAAGGAGCCAGGCTGTAGGAGGGGCACTGTTTGCACAGAGCAGGCTACAGTTGCTGTGTTGTGGATGGAAAGATTAACCACCTTCCCTTGGCTTTTTTACATTATTAAAAATTGTGTGAAATCTTTATCTTGCCAGCTACTACCTACATGTCTCCTGGTAGATGGTTTGTTTCTGACATACTGTGATATATGAGCTCAGTGATTAAATCATGTTTAGAACAGTAATCCCACACTTGTAATCATTGGGTGGTTGTCACATTAACTTACATATATACAGTATTATAAATATAATACATTATAGTTTATTGAATAAGTTGGTTGTCTTCGTCTTCATACTATGCCTAGATGGGCATTGCTTGGAACAACCATTGCAACCAGTTCAGTTTATTACAATATCCTAGACAGGCAGTTATTACTGTTTATTAATTTGTTATGCTGCCCATCTCCTCTGGGCAGCTTAGTTTACCAAACTTACTTTCCTAAAGTCCTTCTTAACACTTACGATTTAAGTCTTCATGCTATAAAGTCAACACCCACATTCTGGTGCTATTAGGTGCTATTTCTTATCAGAGGAAACCAGGCATGCTCCAGATTGCGTTAAATTCCCAGGGGAGAAAACAAAAGAAAGGATGGGCTCACATTGGCCCCGCCAGCCTTTCCTCCCACAAACGCTCCTGTTATTTGTACATCAGCAGTTTTTGCCTTCTTTCTGTTTCAGGAATTTTCCACTTGGGAAAGGTGGACGAAGCCAAAAAAGGTAAATGGCAGAGGATTCATGGAAACGCCTGCAGATAAAGTGTGTATCTCTGGCTGGCGTTAGACGGAGAGGACCATCTGTTCAGGGATGGTCCTGCATTAGCCGGTCATAAATTGTCCTGATGAATTGTGTAATTTAAAGCTGCATTGTTACCTTGATTTTGCATAACTATTTCTAGAGTAAGGATTTGGGTTTCTAGTATCCTCTTTTGACAAAGCTCAGGTGTGAGAGAAAGTTTGATTCCTGGAACACATTCTGTTCCAAACATTCATGGACTAATTTTATAGTAAATACTGGCTTTTATACTTATCCACGAGCCATGGTGGCGCAGTGGTTAGATTGCAATATCCCAGGCTGACTGTCAGGAGTTCGATCCTGACAGGTTGACTCAGCCTTCCAAGGTTGATAAAATGAGGTCCCGGATGGTTGGGGCAACATGCTACTCGGCTTAGAGAGGACTATAAAGCACTGTGAAGTGGTATGTAAGTCTAAGTGCTATTATCTAGCAGGCTGTCAGAATGCCCCACATCAGGCTTCCTAATTTGTGTGGTTAACCCAGGAAGTGATAAAGTGCAACAAAACAACTGTACACTTTTGTATATGCTATGTACTTATTGTCCATTAAGAAGAAGGGCTGGCTCCTGGTGACTGTAGGAATAGGATCTTTTCTTCAAGTGGCTAGTCAGTTCCTAGTGGGGGACAGACAGTGGCTACCCAGTCATCAGCCTGTCCCCCACCCCCATGCTTAAGGCAGGACTAGAACTCATGACTTCTAATCCAGCACCTTAACCACTGGACCAAACTGGCTTTGTTATATTAATATGCAAATTACAGCAAGAGTTGCTGTACTTTTAATTGTTGCTGTTTCCCTGAATAAAAGTATAGTATGACTGCCTTTGAGATTAATCTGCAATGATTTATGGGCGGAGTGGAGATTACCCTGTAACTAAAACTCTTATCAAGCCTTATTAGAGCCTTGGAATTTACCAATAATTAGCAACATTTTAAACTGCTTTAAAGTTTAAACAGCAGGGGGTTCATCCATTGTAATTTGAACCGTTAAGTTCAAAAACTTAAGTTGTGGGGCCAGAGCTTAGCAGCAGGACTTCTTCAGGATCAGTTGTTCTGCCCTGAAATCTGACGCTCTTTATTTAAGGAAGCATTCCCAAATCTGGAACCAGAATCTCATCACCCGTTACAGCGAAGGGAACCAAGCGTGCAGTCCACAACGTCGCCCTTCAGCCGACATGAGGCACCAGAGATCAGGTCACAATGTCAGGCCCAGCAGTAGGCTGTTCTTCTCCCAGGAACAGTTTCAAGGATATCAAAGACCCTCTTTTCAAGAACTAAATCCTCATGGCTCGCTGCAACAACATAGAAATCAAATAGACAAGCAATACTATTGGATCCCTTAATCATGAAAAAAGTATTTGGCAAGAAAAGATAACCTGTGGAATTGATGCTTACAGTAAATTACACCGTTGCTGTTTAAGAATGCTTTCTAGTTGCATCCAATTCTACAGTTGCCGCCTCATCATTTAGTTGCCTTTTTGGAAGAAGAAAGGAAGGGAACTGGACACCTGATAAACACATTTCCAACAGAAGGATTCTGTTAAGGAAAGGGAATTCAATGAATTCACCCAAAATGTTTTCTTCTTGGATGACTTGAGGAGAACAGACTTTTTTTAAAAAAAGATACTTCTGCAAATCATCCTTATATATTGCTCTTTAGATATTAAATAAAATGAATTGTTCCACAATAGTGTACAGCGTAGTAAAAATGTTTTCACAAGGCAACTGGTTTTGTTCTTTTGAAGTTGATTTTTACCTTTACAGATGTATGAGGTTCAAGCTTGTAAAAGACATTCAAAGCTGCAGTTGTGATTTGGAGAAAATTCTCACAGTCCTTTGGCATTAGTTATGTGGTCTGGTACTGAATCCAAAACCTGAGAGGTATCAGGCTGCTAATCCCTGATCACATTTGTAAGCACTATAAGGGTAGCTCTTTTGAAACCAGAAATATTATTCTTGAATGAATCATGAGCTGCTCTATGTAATTGAAAGACAGTAGATTGAATTATGAGATGCATTTCCTGCTGGGAGAAAAGGAGTGTACTTAAGATTTAGGACTTGTGGGCTAGAAAAAGTACTAGCTGAAATATAGATAATGCCATTAATATAAAATTTGCAGCCCTTAATTATGGTAGAAAATGTTGTCATAGACAATCACTGAAAGAGTTCTTTATCTTTCAGAAGATAAACTACAGGCATCCTGTTTCCCAAACGCACTTCTGCCCCATCCTCACCCGGAGAGCAAAAATTGTTTATCTTGTAGTTAGGAAATGTTCAATGCAACAATCAATCAGTAGTAATAGGGTCCAATTATTAAGGGAAAAATTCTATATTTCCAGCTGATAAACTATAAGTTAATAATTTAAAGAAGAGAAAAATACAGAAAACCCCCATGTTCGTTAGCAAGTACAATATTACGAAGCCCATGTTTGGTGGCCCTCTCTAGGATGACTAAAATATCACCTAATACCTAGTAGTCAGCAATTATTTGAAATTTTTTTAATGTTATCTAAAATGAAACTTTAAAATTTGCATTTTTGAGACTAGAAAATGTGAGAAATGCAAAGTTTGGTTCTGTAAATATCTACAGTAGGAGAGTCCCAAGATTCCAGCTATATATTTTTACAGCTTGGAATCCTGTATTGCTCAGGCCCCAAGGACAGATCCAGGTGGTCCCTTCTCCAAATCCCCTTATTGGTGGCTCCAATATTATCATGACAGCTGCTCAGCAAGCATACAAATGCGGTCACCCAAGAGCAGGCAAACCTTTTGAAATCTAATCTAAATAAGAGGAGTGATTTAAATTGATTTTCCTATTTTCTGATTTCCATTCCCTACTGTAATAATGTTCCTTGATGCCTGAAATAGGTGGTGCAAAATCATGGTGCTGAAAAAGTAACTTCAACGATCGTTTGTAGAGACTCCCCTTCATTCAGGTCCTGCTTGTCCCAAAGGTGCTTTTTCGGGAGGCAATGGGACTTTCTGGCTTTTTTCTTTGAAGACGTTTCGCTTCTCATCCAAGAAGCTTCTTCAACTCTGACTGAATGGTGGGGGTTGTATTGGCTTTCCCACGAAGTTGGGAGGGAGGGGGGGGAAAGGAGAATAGAAAAAAAAAGGAAGCCAGGAGGGAGGGAAGATGGAAGGAAGAAGGAAAGGAGGGAGGAAATGGAGGGGAAGGAAGAATAGAAAAGGAAGGCAGCCAGGAGGGAGGAAGGAAGGAGAGAGGGAAGGAGGAAGGAAAGGAGGGAAGAATGGAGGAAAAGGAGGAAGGAAGGAGAGAGGGAAAGAAGGAGGAATGAAGGAAAGGAGGGAGGGAAGGGAAAGAAGGAGAACAGAAAAAGAAATAAGCCAGGAGGAGGGGAAGATGGAAGGAGGGAGGGAGGGGGAAGCCATCCCGCTTTGGTTGGGTCTTTTCGAAAAGCCCCCCCCCCCAGCAAGCCGCCTCCAAGGCCCGCAGTTCCCTCCAGGGATCTTGGCGGACCCTCCATCAGTCACAAACTTCCGGGTTCACCATCTTAAGCGGAGGAAGCGGAAGTCCCTCGGCTAGATTTCCGCCCCCATCTCTCAGTGCACGAGAGCTGGCCTAGAGAAGCCGGAAGCTACCCTGGAGCGGTTCTGTGGCGACCCGTTGTCGGTTGCGAACTCCTGTGCAGGTCAGTGGGCGGGAAGCGGGTCGCCGTTCACCTTTCCTCCCGCGGCGGTCCCAGGACGGCAGGCATGGTTGGCCCGAGCGGCCTCTAGGACACGGGGGCAGGCGGAGGGCTTTCTGGGGAAGGAAGAGAACAGAAGAGAAAAGGGGCTTTGGAGGTCTTCTAGTCCAGCCCTCCCCAAGTAGGAGACCCTAGACCAACCCTGGCCTCTTTAAGCCTGGAGGACTTCAACTCCCAGAATTCAAGCTTGGTCCCTTTAAGCCTGGAGGACTTCAACTCCCAGAATTCAAGCTTGGCCCCTTTAAGCCTTGAGGACTTCAACTCCCAGAATTCCCCAGCCAGCTGGCTGGGGAGTTCTGGGAGTTGAAGTCCTCCAGGCTTAAAGGGGCCAGGGTTGAAGTCTCCTGCCCTAGACCATTGCCGCCAAATGGATACGAAGTCTCTCCTTTGGAAAAAGCTCCACTGATGGGGCTCCCACCACTTCTGAAGGCAAGCCCTTCCACGGGTTAATGGTTCCCTTGTGAGAGGTGCATGCAAAGACATTTCGTTCTAATGTACGCCGATTAGTGTACTTTCAAAGTGACAATAAAGTTATTCTGTTATCAAATTTATCAAATACACTGACCAACTGACTTAAGTGAGCGAATCTGATTAGGGTCACATCCTGATTAGGGATGTGCTTTGAATCTCTGCGCGGAGAGACCATGTTTCAATTGAAGTTTTCCTACTGAAATTGCATTAATAAGATTATGTAGGTTGCCATTGTCTGCTTTTGGAGATAAGGCTGATAAAGAAACATATTCTTTAATATCACGTGTGTTGAAACAAACTGTAAAGCTAGAACTTCAAGCTTCTTTGGATTCAAATACAAAATTTCCTCATTCATTTGTTACTCAAGGTTATACTTACAGATCTAAGAAATCTGGAATACATGGAATAAATAACTTGGATTATAAATGATCTCATTCAGATCGTTATCAATTCTTCTTGCAGATTAAACCTATATGTCTGAGTATGCAGATACCAGCCTGCCCCCAGAAGACCGGGTCAGAGGTCTTATTCATATGGGGAGTAGTGTGGAAGTGAATGAAGATGTTCCACCACGAAGATACTACCGTTCAGGTGTTGAAATCATCCGGATGGCAACTATTTATTCCGAAGAAGGCAACATCGAACGTGCCTTTATATTGTACAACAAATACATTACGTAAGAAATAAGCATTGCTCAATAATAATTCTGGCAAATCAATAGAATATCTTTGTGTTGCAAATTAGCTAGATATTCTGGAATTTATAACAGATGTGACTAAACTACTTATTTATCTATAGCCTGAATGAGTCCGTCCGTTTTTGCCTGGGCTTTTGCATCATCTAATTAAAACATATAGGGACCAAAACTACATTTCTCCAAAGTGTCTGTTTCTCGGTTGACTTTTAACTTTGATGAAGAACTGCCCCATCCCTGATTTAGGAAATAAATAAATTGGTAAAAGTCTTATTTGAGCAAGGCCATTAAATCCTTTGCAGCGCTCACCAAGGAAGAATATGTCAAATAAATGGTAAAATACCAAAACTTTCCACAATTTTCCCAACAATAACTTTTTTCCAGATTAGCTGTTAGCTTCTTTTAATCTTGTTGCTTTTTATATTTTTATGATTTTGTTCAGAGGTACAAGTGAAAATCTTTATTAATCAAATTTTATTCATACAAGCTTAAGAAAAATACATATGCAGATTATTTTACTTGTTGTGTTGCTCTTTATACGTCCTAATAGAAAATTGTCTTACAGAACTCAGTGTAACCTGATATTAAGAAATGAGTGGAATAAACAGAAATTCTGGCATTGTTTAAACAACGGGCAAGAGTGTCAGTGGTCCCCAAAGTATATAAATGTATTTAAATAGCTATAGAAGTACAACTTCATTATAATGACATTTTTGTATTTCTTTCAATTTTGTTAAATAACTTCTTAATGTGTTTTTATTCTCTTTGACAATGTATCTTTATCACTATTTGTGATTTGTTCTTTTTCTCTTTTTGTAATTAATTGAGAGCAATAAAAAAATTAAAAGTCCACTAAGAGTTAATAAAGGTAACAACGTAGCTGTTTTAGCCTTGATCAAATAAAATAATTTTACATTCCTTCCTTTTACTTCCAACAAGTTTAATATTTAATTCATTCAAGTAATGTCATTGAATTTGTTTCCTATCATTTTTTTCTTTGTCCTTTCTCATGATGTTCTTCAAAACTTTAGCCAGCTTTTTGTAATTTCAATATATAAACATTATCCAGGTAGTGCTCGCTTGGTTTATTGTTGGTATGATGCCCAGTGTAAGATCTTTTTCCACGTCATTCTTTTAGTCTGTCATTTAAAAAATCCCTTTCAAACTTAGTCCTGGCCTTGTCAGGTAGAACTTGATCCTTAATGTCTTTCAACAATCTTTCCATAGAAGTACATGTTTCTGTTGACACTCATAAAATTAACTTCTGAATCCATTATTCAAAAAAAAAAAAACCCACCCTCAATATGTCCAATGTTAGAATATTTTGGTTCATTCTTAATATTTTGTCTCATTCTTAAATTGAGTTTATGTGTTGTCTTGTAATTGTAATTTTTTTGTTCTCTCGAGTGTCTAATGTTGTCCTTTCTGGTATCCAAAATCTGTCTTTCTTTATTAAAGAAATAATCTTGTCTCTAAAAAATATGCTTTTAAGAGTTGTCTAACCCTGGGATGTATAGCCTCTGGCTCTGTGGACTTACCATTTGCCTTGCCAGCTTGCCAAAGATAAGGAGTAAAGGGTGGAACACTGAACAGTAGAGTCATTTAAGAGGATGTTATATAATATTTGAATTTAAAAATAGGATATAATAAATAAGCAAACCAATCGATCGAAACATGTGGAGAGCCTCGCATTCTCATTTTGGGCATAAGGACTCTGATTAAAATGTGTGGACCTATTCTTAGCCAACCAGGATGAATCTGCTTCAGCCTGCTACGCCTAACGCATGCTCTCTCCATGCCCCCTTGTGCTGTGTTCTTCCAGGCTCTTCTTAGAGAAACTCCCCAAGCATCGAGAATATAAAACTGCAATCATTCCAGAGAAGAGAGAGACCGTGAAAGTAAGTGATAAATATATTTTTCTTGTAAGAGTTTCCCCTAAAATTGCCTGCTCCCTGGCAGTGGGGCTGCCCTGGTCGTGGGTTCAGAAGGCTCTTCTGAGAGAGCTCGTGTAAGTTTGATGTACAAACTTGATGCTCCTCCTTGTGAAACTGAATATCACTGTTTAATCTCACATTTCCTATTTTGTGCTATTTTTTCTTAACTCAGAAACTAAAAGAGGTTGCATTCCCTAAAGCAGAGGAGTTGAAAAAGGAGCTTTTAGCAAAATACAACAAGGAATATGCAGAATACAATATACAGAAGGTGAGTAACAGGATGTTATTGAGCCTTGGCGGCTGGAATGTTTGGCCTCCAATCTGGCTGAGCCAGAAGCAGACAAGTTGGGCTGTCGTGCTAGCAAGGCTGACCCGGACTGATTCTCCTTAATTTCTGGGAATCATTATGTCTGCTGAAGCTCTGAGAAAGCCCAGTCGGTATCTTTGGAGATATCGGGAGAATGCAAGGTCAAGAGACAAAATAAGCTGCATTGAGATAAAAAGTGTGTAGGGCCTTAACAAAAACTAAAAATGTTTTGATTTAAATGTAAAAACAATGATTATATCTAATGTGAATATTGTTTAATATAAATGACAACAGCCGGTTAATGTTGTCTGGGTTCTGAATCTAAGAAGAGCTGGGCCTGGATAGTACTTGAATAAGAAACAGAGAAATGCAGGGTGGGTGGGAATTGTTGAATGCATTGCTGAGGTCGTGACAAACGATGTCCACTGCACTTCCAGGATGGCTCAAACCAGTCACTTTATCAGAAAAAGGAGGTCAGGTTGGCCTGGCCTAATTGTTTCTTGATAAACCCATATCACTGTCCATTTAGTCCCCGCCCCAATTCCATCTCCCCTCCTTTCTACTTATTGTTTTTAGCTCCTCTTTCAGCCAAGTTTCCCTTTGTACATTAGCTTTTCTACCTATTTTCCTCCTAACATAGATGGAAAGGCAAAGTTAAAACAATGCAAGCAATTTATATGTAGGAAGTTGCTTTACGAGCCAGTCACCTAATGAATTAACCTGCTCTAATTGGTGGATCGAATTCTCCCAAAGATGAGCTCAGGTCCTCCTGCCAACCCAGCGGGGAGGGAGGAAACAGGGTCACAGGTGACTGTGAGTTACGTATGCCAGAGTTGGCTTCATTTAGGTCAGGGGTCTCCAAACTTGGCAATGTTAAGACGTGTGGACTTCAACTCCCCGATGGCTGGAGAATTCTGGGAGTTGAAGTCCACACGTCTTAACATTGCCAAGTTTGGAGACCTCTGATTTTGGTTAATGCCAGCATGTTGCTCCTAATAAATCCTTTGAGTTTTTTTGACACTTGGCTCAAGGCTCATGACTTAATCAGGGCAATCGCCGGAATCCTGACAGTTGCCCAGTTTTCAGCCCAGACATTGCGGCCAGGGAAGGAGATGCCCCAAGAGCGTTGCTCCCGCTGCCCTTCCCCACGTGACCTGCTGGCTCTCCCCTTCCCCGTTCCAGAAGAAGCGAGAGGAGGCATTCGCGCGCACCTTGGCCCTGCAGCAGCAGCTGGAGGAGGAGAGGCAACGAGTGGCCCGCATGAAGCAGCAGCAAGCCGAGCAGGAGCAGTTCCACGCCTTTGAGGACATGATCCGGCGCCAGGAGCTGGAGAAGGAGCGCCTGAGGGTGGTGCAACAATTTGGGACAGCAACCGTAGGCCCCCCGGAGGGCCCCTTAATACCTGGCGTGCTCAAGCCCCCCACTGACCCCCAAACTCTTATGTCCGGTGGCCAACCTTTGAGCCCCGCGGGAGGAAGCGGACTGCCGCAGCCCCCCGTAGTGGACCGGTCGCTGAAACCTGGCGCTTTGGGGAACTCGGAAAACAGTACGTTTTGGAATGGATGTGGTCCGCCTTCTGGGCTGGGGGTGCAGGGATGGCCCTGCCAGGGTTGCTCAAAACTACCCCTCTCCCTGCCCCCACCCAGTCCCTTGGCTGCAGACGGGGGAGCGCTTAAGATGCCCCAACTGGGTCTATTTCATAGACTGATTTTAGCGAACTGGGAGATTCTTAGCAGAATACCTGGGATTGCTTGGCATTTCTGTTGCCACCTGAAATCCGCTGTTTTCCAAAAACTGAAACCCTCCCAAAGTCAAATCTGCTTGAGAAATCTTCGGGGTGCTTCTCTTTGCCTCCCGTGGCGGCCTCCCCCCGGCCTCGTGGCCGGCGAGTGTTGTGCCGCTGTCCCAGAGTAGATTCTTGCCGGCTGCACCTTCTAAGCGTGGTGGCCTGGAAACAAGCACTGGGGCCAGAGGGAGCCCTTGGCGTCTCCAGATGAAGGCCCCCCCTGCTCCCCACCCGCCTCCACCTCCTGAGGAACCCAGGTGGGTAAGAGTCAGGTCACCTGGCCTTCCGCTGGAAAACCCTGGCCTCTAGCCAATGGGTCCTGGCCATAATACTGCTCCCCGCCCCCATTTGTGTCACTGAGAGGTTTTCAGATTGAGAATCTCCATAGACATTTAAAAAAAAAACAGAATGTAAAAGCTTGGATTAGCACAAAACCACTTTGGGAAAAGATTCCAGCACTGCTGCAAGTTAGCTGATTATTCTCACTATTTTTGGCAGGAGTTTCCTCTGGTTAAAATAACGCTTGGCCCTCTGAAAACATAAACACCAAGTCCCTGTTTTTCTGTGCCCTGTTTCCCAAATACCAAGTGAGACTGCTAGGCTGTGCCTTTTGAGTTGTTAGGCAGAGCTTGGGATGAATAAAATGGTCTCTACTTTAGCAAATCTGCAAACTGGGGGTGGGATTCAGCCTATTACACCCCGTGACTCAGCTCTTCCCTTCCAGGCGCCGTTATAGATGGTCTCCGCCACATCGTTGTCCCCAGGGATCTGTGCCATAAATTTCTGCAGTTGGCAGATGCAAATACAGCCAGGGGTGTGGAGACCTGTGGGATCCTTTGTGGGAAGCTGGTAAGATGATGGCATAAATCCTCAAGGCCGCGTGAAATCTCCTGAACTGGTAACTTGATCATTTGGCAATATCCTAAACAGTAATGCAGGTTCCTCTTTGTAGGAAGTATGCAAGTATAGGAAACAGAAGCAGGTCTGAGTAGTCAGAAGAATTATAAGGTCACATTACGGTCCTGTTACTGTTAGAGACTGTTGCCTTTCATCATGGACTTTGGCAATTTAAGTTTGACTCTATGATTACACGTTATTGCAGGAGTCCCTAAATATTTTTAGGCCCAGAGTGAATTGCAAATGGTCAGGAATTTGCCCTATAAATTCAGGGAAAGCAGGTGGCCAGTTCTGGTCCCCAGGATCCCAAAAACTTCCTAACAATTGGAACAATTAATCGTGGAACAACTTGGTCCATCACTGGAGCTTTTTAAGAAGAGGCTGGACCGCCGTTTGTCCAGAAATGCTCCCACAAATGGAGTCCCATGTGCCTGCAAGTGCCCACCCCTCCTATAAGTGGAGCCACACCCACAGAGCCATTTCCTGCCCCCCCTCCCTTGCAGCTCTGAACGCCGGAAAGGTTGGGGACCCCAGTTTTAGAGGACGCCACATCTGCCCCGCCTGCCTACCAACCATTTACCCGAAAGGGCTCTTTGCTGATTTTTCCCCCCCTCCCCCCATGACCTTTGGCCTTCTTTCTCTCCCCCATCAGATGAGGAATGAATTCACCATCACCCACGTCATTGTCCCCAAGCAACACGGAGGCCCCGACTATTGCAACACGGAGAGCGAGGAGGAGCTCTTCCTAATCCAGGACCAGAACAGCCTGATCACCTTGGGATGGATCCATGTAAGGCGGGGCCTTGGGCGGGGCCCTTCCAGGGTCCAAACCCTGCCTGCGGGTGGGTCTCCTTAGTCCCCCAGAGAGAATGGCTGCAGGGCAGAGGCGGAGCCTGTTCCCGGACAATGCCCTCTCTGGGATTCTCTGCTGGCCCCGGGGGCTTCCCTTCCAAGGAGGGCCTCCTCCGGGCGGGTCTCCTCGGGGTCTTCCACTGGAGGAACAAGGACATGCGAACTCCAGCAAGCTCTTCTCAAAGTTCCCAGGAGTGGATTCTTGCGTGGGGGAAACCCTGGTGAATCCTGCACCTTCTCCCCACTCAGGAGTCCCCTTATGGGAACTTTGGTAAGAGCTCGCGAGAGTTCCTAGGTCCTTGTTCATTTTTTTAGAAGTTCATATTTTCCACAATTTTTTTCCTCATTATATATGAACGGTATCTGTAAACAAGAATGCCTGGGTGTCTCAAAACTGTACCCAAAAGTATATTTTTGAGAATAAAAGCCGGCAAAGTATAAACGAATACCACTTAAAAATGTTTATCTCCAGAAAGTACAGAAGAAAATGTTGTGTTCAGCCTTTTAAAAAACAGAATGGAAAAAATGCCCTGATTCTAGCTTCCTTTTTATCATCTGCCCTGTTTCTTTCTTCCTTTAGACTCATCCTACTCAGACGGCTTTCCTCTCCAGTGTGGACCTGCACACCCATTGCTCCTATCAAATGATGTTGCCAGAGTCTATAGCTATCGTTTGTTCACCAAAGTATCAGGAGTAAGTTACTGGACTGTGTACATCCCAGTCTGGTTGTGAGATTGAGTGAGATCACAGGGCTGCATTTGGGACTACAAACCCCTCACATCCTGGACACCAACTGTTTCAATTCCTCCCCTCGGGATGGCATGCATGCCAGGGCACGGCATGCCAGAACAACCAGACACAGGGGCGGTTTTTTCCCCTCGTGCCGTCAATCTGCCGAACAGCTAATTCTCACAGTGCTGTCTAATGTCTGTGTGTGTTTCCCCATGTATTGTGGCTGCAGTGTTATCACTTACCTTTCTTGTTAGATGAATCTGTTGCTTTGTATGTGTACCGAGAGCTATTGCACCGGAAACAGATTCTTTTGTGTTTCACACTTGACCAATGAAGCCTATGCTATGCTATGCTATGCTATGCTATGCTATGCTATGCTACGCTATGCTACGCTATGCTATGCTATGCTACTGTTCTCTACTCTACTCTCTATTCTTTCCCTAATTCCAATATTCTATTCTATTCCATTCCATTCTATTCTGAATCCTGTTCTATTCTATATTTGATTCTACTCTATTCCATTCTCTATTCTTTCCTTATTCTGTTCTCTATTCCATTCCAGTCCAATTCCCTATTTTACTCCACCATACTCTACTCTATTCATATTGCTTTAAGGGGCAAGTGCCACATTTCAGACGTGCTCCGTGCTGCTCTGAATAACGAAGGAAGTTGGGGAAGATGGGGATTCAGAGGCATCCCAGCTCCATTTAAGCAGCTCATTAAGGAGCCTAGTTTGTTCAGATCCTGTGGAAATCCTAGTTCCGTCCCGGTCTACCTGTTGCGGGAAACTTATCCCAAAACGAGAAGGCTGGGAGCACAGGAGGGCAAAACTTAAAGAATGATCCATTGGAGATAAGCAGGCTTGTGGTTTTGTAGGTAGGAAGGGATTGTTCAGTGTTGGCCAGGGGTCTCCAACCTTGGCCGCTTTAAGATTTGTGGACTTCAGCTCCTAGAACTCTAGGACTTGAAGCCCACGAGTCTTAAAGTGGCCACAGTGGGAGACCCCTCTTTTAGGGCAGGTTTCCTCAAGGGGCAGCCTCCTCTGTTCTTCTGAACTTAATGCTACTCTTGGCCCCAAGGCCATTTGCAGCATTGGGGCCAGCTGACTTTGTCCACCGTTGCTGTTGTCTAGGACTGGATTCTTTAAACTGACAGACCACGGGATGGAGGAGATCTCGTCCTGCAGGCAGAAAGGATTCCATCCCCACTGCAAAGACCCTCCTCTCTTTACTGTAAGTGCCTGGGAGAAGCAGGGGTCTTTTGGTTCCGGCCACTTCCCAAGCCCCCCCCC